CCGTTTTCTGGTGCCAAGCCAGCTAGAACCTCTTTGTCACACTACCCGACCAGGTTTTTGCTGCTGAGGTCATTTCAGGTCAAGTTAGGTCAAGGTCAATTATATGTGTTTGTATGTCTGTGTGTGTCTGTGTGTATACTGATGTGTGCGCCGATTGTTTATGTGTCCATATTACATGAAATCATGATCTGAGCAGCTTTTACCAAAAATGCAGTCAAAAAACTTCACAAAAAGTAAATTCCGCTTGCCTAAAACGCAATTATCTTAGATGACCTAGGTTGACCTTGACCCTGACCTTGACATCTGTACATCGTCGAACAACATGTTCCATGATAGGTGGGAGGTAAGACTGGCAAAAAAGGCCGAAATCAAGGTGTCAAAAGCTCACAAGGCCCATAGCCAACGCAATATGTTGAAAATTGGCCATTTGGGTCATGACATGTCCTGAAAAACAAGGTCATATCTCCGAAACCAAAAATCACAGAAACTTGAAATTTTCAGTGGACATCAAGAAAGGATAGAGGAGCAGCTATACCAAAAATCAGCGTTGTAGCTCTAAAAATGTTGAGTGCAGAGCAGAAAGACTACCTGGGGGGTGGCAACCCCCCCCCCCTCCATGTACGGGCGAGGGTTAACCCTCGCCGGCACAAGGGGGGGGGGGTGATGCAATCCCCTATGGTTTTTCGCAAATGACTCGCGTAAAAAGCGGCCGATCGCGACGAAACTTTCAGTACCCTCGCATTGATCAATTTTACACCTACCCTGAAAATTTTATGACCCTGACCCCAATGACCTTTGACCTGTGACCTCTTTTCCGAGACCATGTTTGGCCGGAATCGCGATTCGGCGTATGTCGGTTCGCATTAGCCGCGCGTTTGCAAGCTTTCAGTGGTTTCAAACGTTCAAATATGTGATTTGATGTTGCTCCCATGCATTAGGGTGGGTGTCAAGGTCACCTGAAGGTCAGGTCAGGTCATTGACCTTTGGTGACCCCGGTTCTCTTTTTCGAGTTTTACATGTAGGTACCTAGGCTAGTTTTTGGAGCTGAATTCGAATATAGCACCCATTTGAACATTTACGAAGCAGTTTTGGTGCCTTCGTAACATGTTACGAAGCTGTCAGAGGCGGATGACAGGTAGGTACTACGAATACCCGTCACGACCCCTACCGGTTGACCTGACCTGACCTGACCCGACCGGGTCTAAACGCTTAACGACATCTGCCGCGCGTGGCACTGACGGTATATGCATCCGCATGTTAAAAGTATGCTTCCAAACTATTGGCGACATCATTTTACACATCATTAATGTCTCAATCACCCGTTCCGACATTCCTGACCCCTGGAAACACTCTATCGTTCAACCGATCTTCAAGTCTGGCAACCCATCTGACCCCAGCAATTTCAGACCGATCTCCCTAGTTCCCGTAATCATGAAAATCATCGAGCGTGTAATCCATCAGCAGCTCTATCACTATCTCACCCATAACCACCTTCTTTCGTCTACCCAACACGGATTCCGCCCCCGACACTCCACTGAGACTGCACTGCTGTCAGTCACAGATAGCATCCTTGCCGCCACCGATAGGGGTGAGATCTCAATGCTATGCCTCATAGACCTTAGCAAATGTTTTGACGTCATTGACCATGAACTCCTTGTCAAAAAGCTCCAAATCTACGGTATTGAGACCTCCTGGTTTTCCGCTTATCTTCAGGGACACACGCAGAGTGTATCCCTGAAAGACAAAACCGGCCGTAAGATAACCTCTCGACCGCTCCCAAACACCGTAGGAGTTTTCCAGGGTTCGGCTTTGGGTCCCCTCCTCTTCACTATATATTCTCCAACGACCTCTCACTATTTGCCGGAGACGCCACCGCTTATCAGTACGCAGACGACACCCAGATATTTGTGAGCGGCCCACGCAACGACATCAGTAGTCTCATCTCGCGCATGGAGGCATCGCTAGAGTCACTTAACGCATGGTTCTGCGCACACGCCCTGAAAGTCAACGCTTCTAAAACTCAACTGATGGTATTCGGTAGCCGACAAAACCTACGTAACCTGCCTCGCTTCAAAATCTCTTTCCGTGACGCTGAGCTCCTGCCGTGCGCGCAGGTGGGAAACCTGGGTGTTGTATTCGACGGCGCACTCACCTGGGAAGCACACGTGGCCGAGCTGAGCCGTCGCTGCATGGGCGTACTGATCGGCCTCTCCCACGCACGACACTGCCTCCCAGACGGTATCCTCAAAACGATCGTGACTGCACTCGTCATCTCGCGCGTCCAGTACTGCCTCACTGTATATGGAAATGGCTCCCAGAAAAACTTCGACCGACTCCAAAAAAATTCTAAACTTTGCAGCACGGGTCATATTCGGCCGCCGGAAATTCGATCACGTCTCCGGCCTCCGCGATTCACTCGGATGGATGCCTCCGAAAGCTATGGCCGATGTTAAAACCATGGTAACTGCGCAGAAAATAACAAGCAACGGCGAGCCCGAAGCACTAGCTGCCATCTTCACGAATAACAGTGACGCGCGAGAGAGATCCACTCGACAGGACCACCTTTTCCACCTTCCACGCTCGCGGCTCGAGACTGGCAAGCGACGATTCGGCTACCGGGCCGCGGCGCTACTCAACAGTCTGCCTCCCGGTGTCATCGAACAGCGCCCCGCCCAATTCGCCCGTGCGGCCAAGGCTGCAGCCTGTCCGTCGATGGCGACCGCCCGACGATGACCCGTGTCAGGGGAAGGAGGTGCGACATCCGTGTGCGGTGTGCTGTCTTGAATCGTCCGTTTGTATATAGAGAGAGCGAATGTCCAGCGATTGAATCTGTATGCCTGTGTTTCTTGTCCCCGCATGTTTTTGTTTGTGCCCGACTCAGACTCTGGACTGTAATCGCCACGCCCCGCGTGGATTGTCCATGAAGGTAATACAATACAATACAATACAATACAATACAATACATCTGTGATCAAAACTAATATGATATTCGTGATCAGCACCCCGAAAACCCCTAGCCACACTTTACGACGTTCTAACAGGTCCCGATTTCCCCGACTTTTGGGTCATTGACCTAACCTGGAAGGTCAACCGATGACCTAGGACCTTAAAATTGGGTATCATCGGCTTTGTCTTGTGACGGGCAATACGCTCGTTTTTTCTGCGAAGCTCTAGCTCGATCAGGGGCGAAACGCGAGGGGGGTCGTACTCGTAGGTACCAACCTACGTGCAGGGGCGCGGGAACTACTTTCCGACTGGGGGGGCACACCATAATAGAGATCAACCTAGGGTACCCCCAAATCTAGTTTTCTCACCGGTTTTAGGCCACTTGTTTTTCATCCCTCGGCTTTTTCAACAAAAAAGAAAACATTTGCAAAAAAAGTGTGGTATTCCGTCTCAAAGCTGTGGGGGCACCGCCCCCACGGCCCCAGAGTTGGGGGGCAAGCTGCCCCCACTGCCCCCCCGGCTCCCGCGCCTATGCCTACGTGCCCTTTGTGCCGTCGAAGGACGCGAAATGGCCTGTGCCAGCGAGGGTTAACGGTGCAAACTACCACCCCAAAGAGGTACATCTTCGGAATCAGCGCATTGAGGAGGCCCTATATATAGGTACCGATTTTGAGCCAAATCGAAAGACCCCGCCGTTTCCCCTTAAAATGTTAATTGGCCGTTAACTCGTTAACCCGCGCGGGGCTGGGGGGGGGGGGTAAATTTTACCCCCCCTCGCGAATTTTTGCGATATCTCAAAAACGGCGGCGCGCAGCGCCGCCAAACTTTCAGTACCTTTTCTTACATCAATTTGACACGTTCCCTGAAAATTTGAGCGAAATCCGTCGGAAATTTTTTTGAGAAATTGACGTTTTAGTGACGTCATGTTCGCCATTTTCGCCTCAAAAACGGCAAAAGTTCAAACGCCGCTAACATCTTCATTTTTAAAGGAATCAAGACGTAACAAAAAAGGTTATACGTAATTTTACTTTGTCTATCAAATGGCTATCTCGGTTTTTTGAAAATTTTGGATTTTGGCCTAAATTTTTTTCAAAAAACTGACTTTTTTGGGAAAATCATTATAAAATCCAAAATTTTGAGTCTATCGAAAAAACCGGAATATATGTCAGAGAAGTGGTCTATGTGCACCTACATACCAAATTTTAGAAGAATCGGTTCAAAAATGTGGGAGTTATTCAAAATTTTATGACGTCACGACACACAAATTTTTTGAAAAATGACTTTTTTGGAAGTTCTAGACCTCGTACGGAAACAAAAATAGCACCATTCGATTCGCCGTGAAAAACTGCATCAGATAGACACCTTTTTAGGCCTTAACAACCAACTTCAAAATTTGACCTCACTTGACCTGACCTTGACCTGACCTCGACCTGAAATTCATCCAGAGATGGTCCATATCACTTATTGAGTGTGCTTATTGAATTCTATGAGTAAAATGACCCATAAAACATGAGTCGCACATGCCCTTTTCTATATTTTGTTTTTTGGTGACCTGACCTGACCTGACCTGACCTTGACCTTGACCTCTGAATGATATTGTATGCAACGAATATTGTCTTGGTAGCCTAAGAACACGTTTTGGGCGATCAGTCTCAGTCCATGACTCCATTCTTCGGCAACTACGGTGCAAGGCCGATATAGAAACTTGCAATTTGTACCCTTGACCTGACCTTGACCTTGACCTCAAACTTTAAATTAAGTACATGTTTTTAGTAGTTCGTGATGAGAGCTTTCGATTGGCGTTTGAATTTTCCAAATCGGACCATTAGTTCGGGAGATAACAGGGGGGGTAAAATTTACCCCCCCAGCCCCGCGCGTTCGGCTGGAGACCCCAGCCCCGCGCGGGTTAACAGTGGAAAATACCACCTCAAAGAAGTACATTTTCGGAATCAGCGCATCGAGGAGGCCCTACATACCAATTTTGAGCGAAATTGAAACACCCCGAAATATGCTGCTGTGAGGTTGATATTCGTTGCTGCTGAATTGACAGACGTCATTTTGGTACACTTTGCTAGTCCTGCTTTTGAACAGAAATTGTCGGAAGTGCTTCATAATTGCAAACATTCCCTTGTTGTCTGCTGCGTCACCAACAACAGTATATACCCTGACTTATACGGCCTTGCAACAGTGGCCACCAAGCTCATCGACTTGTGAAAAGATTTCGGGATTTATGCGAATTGCAAGGCCCTATATAACGATTTATCACCGATTTTTGCGCTGAGTTTATTGGTCCATGCTCCAACTGGTATGCTTCGTTTTTCTCATTGTAAAATAAGAGGAAATTGAACTGGAATTGGAAGAGCGAAAGCCAAGGTCAAGGCGGATGTTGAGAGCTGACTTGGTTGAGACCAATAGTATAAATGAGCAATTGACATAATACATTGATCCTACTCCAAACTTCAACTTCAAGGAAGGTATGTACCAAGGCTATAGAACTCTATGTACCTTATTGCTATCATACACGGAAGTGTGACGCCTGCTTTACGACTACCTTGATGTCTTAGTAATTCAATCTGTAGAAAAAATGCTCCTTGGCCCTGTTTCAGGTTTCTTGTCCCAATGCTATAGTGCCCTATGCTGTGCTACTGTCTTGGTGCAGCAGCCAGCATTTGAGACAAAGTCACCTTGGCGCTCTGGCATTGTGAGCATCCGAGTTTGTTGATGTTTCCATGAAAACCCTATATGGGTGTCTATGCGCATAGCTCTCAGTAGCATTGTGCTGTGAAACAGGGCCCTTAATTGTGCAATGCAACCTGCTGCTAAGTGCTAGGTACCCAGTACCAGTAGTCAGTAGTTCGGTACCAGTGCAAGCTAATCAATTTGCTTGGAATCATATTTCATAAATAACTTGGCAAGTATGTGCATGTAGATCCAGGCAGTCTCAGATGCTGCTGATAGCATACTCCGCAAGGCGCAAGGACTTTCTCCAATAAAAATAAAAAACTCAGATTTAAATTTTAACTTCCTCACAGACTCCTGCGACCTGCACAGTACCTACAAAACTAACTTTTCCCAATAAAAGTTGATTTGTTTTCTTTCTATTCTTGATAAACTGTAAATTTTCATAGATGATGGGTGCCATGGGGGGGGGCAATTGCCCCAAACTCCGATCCCTGGATCTGCCAGTGAACTGAAGCACTAACACCTACTTGGTGCCAGCAAGAGGCATCGTACTGTTAGCAGTGCCAGGCTGCCACCCATCCTTCTTGAAATTGAAGTGCCTTTATTAGTTTATTCTGCCAGTAGGTACAGTTCAGATAGTAATGCATGACTGTGTGCCACAGCCTATAAGTGTAGTGTGTATATAGCTCAAAATAATGAATTAGATACTACTAATGAGAGTATACTCAGTTCCGAAATGTAATAAACGTAAACCTTATTCCAGACTTGAAAAAATTGATGTTAGGTACCGTTGACAATTGACATGTCCAGTGTAAAGGGCGGATTGCGTCGAAATTTCAGCACAGCGTTCAGCGTAACTCCGTTCACCGAAATTTCGAAATTTCGCCCGGGTGGATGGACGAGTTTTAACCTCAGCCAACTTCAATCGCTGCACCTTACATTCGAATCATACACCCGATTCGATGACGAGTATGTAATGTTTATCCAAGGCCACCCGGTCCCGAGCCCACTGGGCTGACTTTTGTGACAACACTCTGGACGATTGGGATGCGGACTAAGATGCGGACTGGGCTGGTTGATCTTCGGGCTCCTAACCGCTGAAGTTGTGTAGGTATGGAGTGGAACGTGCCCGAGTGAGGCGACTGGCGTTGCAGCCAGTCTTTAAATGGGGTTTCGAAGGACTCGAGAAGACTGATTAGACTGCTAGGCCTGAGAGTCTTGATCATGCCCTGTAATGTAGCGTGATCTAGCTAGTTTGTTCGCCGAGTCTTGTGAAGAGAAATACAGAAATTGTGCATGCAGCTCAGTATGATCAATGATCGAAGTTCAGTGCTCCAGAATCCTGGATGATTATCCAGTCCAATTGTCTAACAACCGGTGCTGACGCTATGTTGAGCGTTATTCCCGATATTGATATGCCCTTGAATTGAGTGGCGTAATGCCTAGGAATGCCCTCCCGCGCCTAGGATTGCAACATTCAGTCAAAACACTTTGATATTGAACTATGCTGCTGAGAAATACAGGAACTTTTGGTCAAGAAATTCGTAAAACTGTTTTGTGGAATGTTGTCGAGAAACACGTGGAATGCCGCCCATCGAACGCACCTTGTAACTAGTTACAATGACTGACCTATTGCATCGTCCTGTGTCTTGCTCTCCACACATTTAGTGTAAGGCGATGCGGCGACATACGCACTGAAAAGTACCTACCATATTTGTACATTAGCTCGTAGCTGGCTATGCTTATTATTATAACTCTCTTATTGACTTCTATTCGTTTTTACACCGCTGATGATTTGTTTTCTGTACAGGCCTGTAAAGATGTTTGCGGCAAAGCTGTTTAAACGTGGTTCAAAAAAGGTTTAGTATATAACCCGTCTTCTCTCAAAACTGCATGTCATGTTTGTGTTAGTACCTGTGTATAAACGCATCATATTTGTTGAAGATTGAATCATTGAATCGGCTGATCATTTAGTCAACGCTTACCCCTTCATCGTGTCCCGCAGCTAGAATCATAGATAAGCATAACAACTGAGGATTTGAAAACATACGGGCCTCTAGTTCGAGCTGTTGTAACTTTGTAAATAACCTTGTTATGGTCGAAATTTTACCTAATTAAACATTTTTTTTCAATGCAAGGTAAGGTTGCATAAGAATACTTTGAAGTAAGCCTTACGTAGTTCGCCGTGATGTGTCCCCGTTACTCGTTAGTGGACAGTCACTCGACTCTAAGCTGGAGCCCTGCCGGAGAACAGTCAATGGCCCCAAATACGTGAGAAAGGTAAATGCGTATTACAAACGGACTATGATGCTGAGCGAATAGGAAGACCCGTTTGTGATACACATTGACTTAATGATGTATTCGGGGTCAGTGATAGGAATCGTACTGAGCCGAATATCTCTCCGTCCACACCGTTCTCCGGTCACCATGCTGTCCATTCGCTGATTCAATCTTCATTGTGACAACTTTGGGGGTTTTTACATTGACGATTTTTTCTTTGATGATTGATGTTTTTTTTCGATAATTGATATTTTGCCTACTGATCTGATGAAATAGTAGCTGTTTTGACACGCATCATTGACGCTTCATTGAACATTTAACAGCATGCGCAAAATGTCATGATTGTTGCTATCGCTTTTTACAATAGGCTGTCCTTTCGTTATTTCCTTTCCCAACAAAGGTAGCAAAAGTGCGACGACATTGGCCACTGTATCGTTAGTAGGTAAGCTGTCAGCAAGGCGCGGATCAGAACGGAACTTACAAACACAAAAGCCAGTGTTGATTAACCCGCGCCCCACTGGGGTCTGCGTATAACACGCCCTACTGGGGGGGGGGGGGCTATTCATAGCCCCCCTCCTAACTCCGAAACTACTGGGCCGATCGTCAAAATTCAAACGGTGTCTGATAGCCCCGGAAAAACTGTCGAGCGAAACCTAATTTCATTGACCTCGAGGTCACCGATGACGTCACAGGTCAGGTCAAAGTAAAAATTATTAGCATTTTGGCTTCTTCACGTTTTGGGCTCTGGCCGCCGTCTTACAAGTCAGATCAGGCTCATTTTTGCTTCACACACTCGTGAACAGATGCCCTAGAATCTAGATACTCTGAGGGTACCAAACTTGTACTTTGATTTTCAGGTCAAGGTCAGGTCATCACAGGTCACGAAAATATTATATCATCCGTCGGTCACGTGACACATGTTTTATGGTCCATTTAGGCCAAACATTTCGAATTTGATGTCGTCTGTGTCATTCGAGGTCATTTTGAGTCAAATTTAGCTTAGGTCAGGTCACTTTCAGGTCAAAAAAGGTCAAATTTTGAAGTTAAAATTTTTCAACAAAAAAGGTGTCTATTGGATGCAGTTTGAGCTCAGGAACACGATGGTGCTATTTATATTGGCGTACGATGTCGAATTCGTGCTGAAAAATTGATTTGAAAAAATTAATAATTGTTAATTTTTTGCAATAATGCGTATAACTTGGCGATTTTTTAAGATATTTAGCTAAAACTTGCTAGGGTTAGTCATAATAATGCGTTCTATCACATATATTCCGGTTTTTTTCGAAAGGTCAAAACATTTTTGAAAAAAAAAATGTAAAAATATAAATTTTGAATATTATTATATAAAATTTTCGAAATTTTCAAAATTTCGAAAATCCGAGATAGCAGTTTGGTAGCGCAGTCTATTTTGAGTCCTCTCATGCAAAGAAATTGGATCTAGCTTAAAAACTGAGCTCTTGGGAGCGATTGCCGTGGTTCAATGTTTTGCGTCGAAATCGGCCGAACATGACGTCACTCTGACGTCATTTCCGGCCGACCTATGGTAGGTACGAAGTTCAAATTTTGACACAAGGTGTCAAATTGATGCAGCCGAAGGTACTGAAATTTTGGCGTCGATACGTCAAGCGGTTTGGAAGTTATTGCAGAAAAACGGGAGGGGGGCTATAAATAGCCCCCCCCCGTGGGGCGCGGGTTAAGCTTTTTTAAATGAACTTTGTATTAAATGAACTTGCATCTATTTTTAAACTCAATTGTTGGTCTATCCACAGTATCCAGTAAACATTCCTTGTTGTACTACACAATTAGGAATGCTTATTTTTGAGCGCTGACAACACCCTTCAATCTCAAATTTTAAGTCAATTAGGTAGGATTTGAAAGTATTTACGCCAGATTATACTTAGTGGTTGGTTGGTAGGAAAGGGATGCTTGCCGCAGATGGTGATGTTCCAAGGATAGGGAAAAACTTCAATAATATCAATTGGCTTGTACCTAATTGTTTTGGGGTGAAGATAATTGATTGGCTGCCCTACCAACCTAATCTCGCCAATATTTGATACTTTTCACTGTCTCCAGCAGACTCCTCTTTCTCTGGGTCTTATCTTTCCTATCTAGCTGTATCATGATTCCTTGATTGACTATCTGTGAAATCCTCGCCAAATTTGGCGCTCATTCTGTACGATTTATTTTATCCACAATAGCCGCTGAAGTAGACATTGCACGCTGCCTTCGCTGCACGCTTCAAAGTCAGTGGCGCTCGGCCCCGCACCAGAGCCTGCGCACGGGCTCGATTGTTGTATGTACATCCCGGCTTCAGTGCCGGCCCTCTTGTGTCATACTTTCTCAAGAACAAACTTTTATCTCTCTGCTGACCTTTCGCTATGCCTTTCAATCGACCGAATCGTTTAAGACAAAAGTCGGCGCTAAGCTGCATTGATGAAGCCAGTCTTCTTGCTGCCCTAGTTTTCCTGTCTCCAACGTAACCCACTGTTAACAATTGACTCCCCATTTCGCGTGGTGACTGATCATCGGCCGGCCGCTAGACCGCGCCGGTAAGACGGGCTCGTCCGGTGACACTTTTCTGTCATCAGGCGGACGATAAGGGCTCCCCGGAGCCGGAGGAGCAGCAGGATCAGGAGCAGGAACAGGAGCAGGATCAGGAGCCCGAGGAGGTAGAGCAGCCGCTGGGGGCGGAGGGACCTGCGCCAATTGAGCACGAGGCGGCCGCTGACATCATGTCAGACGAGGAGGCTGTCATGGAGGGAAAGGTACGGTGACGGGGCACGGCCACGGCGGCTGTGGGGCTGAAAACATTAACGGGAGCTGCTGTGTGTTACTGTTTACTCTGTACCCAATGGCAGGAGTAGCTGTGTGCTTGCTCTGCAGTTTTGTACCCATTGACTATTCTGTCTTATCTGCTGTTGTGACTGTATGTACCTGGTAACTGTACCTCTTGATCTGATTGTGCCTGTACAATTTACATACATATATTATGTTGTGTCTGTGCGTAATGACTGTGGTATCTGTCACCCACTTTGTACCATCTTTGTACCCGCTGTCTTCTGTGTCTGTATTCTGTTCGTGTCTATACTCAGTGACTCTTTATCGGTACTCTGTACCCACCCACTGACGACAGCTTCTGGCCGGCTCTGGGCCGACGGCCGAGGACGATGGTGCCGGTCGCGCCGACAGCAGCGGTGCTGAGGACACAGAGGAGGCGGCTAACGCGCCGCTGCGCCTCGACCAGCGCTCTGATACTGAGGTGGCTGGTTTGACGGCGCCGCCCGCTAGGCTCTCACTGCCAACTGGCCGTGGCGAACTGCCGTGTGCGGTCCACGTGTGATGCCTGTGTGCTGCCTGTGTGCGCTACCCTAGTGTGCTGCCTGTGTGTGCTGCCCCTTGCTGCTGACCAACCTCTGTAGATGTGTGCAGTAGTTGACCCTGCCGATCCGATTGGTGAAACAGCGCTTATTTCTTCTCGAATAACGCTGCTGTTAGCGTTGGTTTCGAGGTGGCCCTCTGATTGACTTGCCAACTGGTAAAGCTAAATAAGTATGGATTTGTGTGATTATAAATTCATGCCTGATCTGCATTGCGTGACTGCTATACCGCTTGCTTTGGTTTGTAAACATGGCGTTTTGAACTATGACCGTTAAGTATTTTACCGTGAAGTGTCATATGATATTTACACCCTTAGTCCTTACATTTCAATTTACTCCTGTAGAAGAGTTATAGATACAGCCGAAAAGTCATCTGTCATCTGTCATCTGTACATAACGCAATGATGTTTGTACTTAGCTGTAGCCTGGATTGCGGTGTGTGTGTGCCCCAGTTCCCTTTTGTACGTGTAACCCTTTGCCTGCATGCAGTGCGCGCCTGGTTACCTTCGCGGGCGTCGACTTTTATGTTGGTAGCTCCATGACCATACCTTTCTCAAACGCCCGCAAAATACGTGTTACCTGTAGAACTACATTGGTAATGTTCGTTGTTCATATTATCTATGAATCTATCTATTTAAAACCCATATTATTTATCCGTGAATGTGCGTCATTGGCGTCAAACCACGCATTCGTAAGATGATTTCATGTTAACTTTATTCTTACCGTGTAAAAAAAGATAAATTAGTCTAAAGGCTGAAACAGACTCTTTCCGCATTCAGAGAATCGCATGCGAGAGCCTATTCAAATTCATTATAATTCTGCCCGCATCAATTGCATGCGGGAGATGCGTGCGATTGCTGCGAACGTGCCTCCATGCATTTGAATAGGCTCTCGCATGCGATTTCCTGACTGCGGAAAGAGTCTGTTTCAGGCTTAAGTTTAGCTTTCAATTTTGCTTGGGGCGTATATCGGATGTGCTGCGTTATCCGATGTACTGTACTCCGTTGTACTGCACTGTTTGGTTCATACAATTTACGTGTATACGATTACCTGTGGCTCTCTCACCTGCACGACTGTCCTCTACCCGGACCCCAAGCTACCCCGTCGCTCTCCCCGGCTACCTCTGACACCCACCAACCTCTCGCTGACCCCCACCGACCCCCCGCTGACCCCACCGACCCCCCCCCCCCCCCGCTGACCCCAGGAGATGCCCGCTGATGAGGGGCCTCCGGCCGACGAAGACGAAGACGAGGATGACGTCCAGAGCGCGCGCATTGAGGGGTGAGATGGGCGATAGTTCGGTGAATCGGTCACAGAGGGGTGAGCGGGGTGATAGTTAGGTGAATCGGTCAAAGAAGGGTACGGGAGGTGGCGCTACGGTCAGTTCTCCTCGGAGGGTCAGAATTTCCCAGGAGAGTGAGCGACCATTCTTTCACCCAGTACCCATTACTCCAACAGCTATCTCATGTATCCTGTACTGTACTTCACCTTGTGTCCCCTACTCGGTTACGTGTCCTGTATCCCCGTATTCCTTATCATGTCATACCTACCTATGCCCTGTATCCGACACCAGATTGTCTGTCCTGACTCCTGTCTCCTCCCTTTTCTTCCCCTGCAACTAAAGAGCCGATGAAGTGGACACAATGACTCTCGAGGGCACCGCCGAGGTCCGGATGCCGCCAGCGTCCAGCGGGTCGCTCAAGCAGCCCTTCGACTCTGAGCGCACACGCGGCGCGCGCAGCATGACTCTAGCCCGGGACTCGGGCGCCGAGGTACTCGACGAAAACGGCACGCCAGCTCCGGAGGCGGTTCCCGAGGAGCTGCGAGACAACGTTTACGGCACGCTCAAGATCGCCGATGATGGAAATATGACGCTGGAGGCCTACGACCGGCCGGCTTCTGAGACCGAGACGGCTGAGGGAACTCCCAGTCAGCTGCGCGTGCAGGCCATGATGCGTGCCGAGGCGCCGCCGCAGGCCACACCGTCCTCGCTGCGGCCGCGCGGCATGTCCATTGAGAGGTGGGAGCGGCCTACGAGCTACCACTTGGCATTCCCAGTTTTGAATGCCAATTAATGTTTAATTGGAATGGACCGTCTGCAACCTTTGGTTTATTGATAATTTGGACAATTTATTTTAATCGAGCCTGATTTTTTTTTTTGTACATTTTACGTTTGCTCCATATCTCAATCAGTTTCCTTTATTATGCAATTGCCCTTGTCCTCACCTGTCCCAGTTTCATGTTATCATTGTCTGTTCTGTGTCGGAATCCGTCAGGCTCTATCCTACCCGTTCCCATGCCGTATCCCCTGACTGTGTTCGACACCGGCGGATTCATCAGGTCGCCAGAAATGGAGGTGAACATGCGCCAGCACCTGCCGCCCGGGCCGACCATCTCGCCCGACCAGCAAAAGCTGCTCGACGAGCTCGGCATGCAGGCGGGTCCCACCGGCTTCAGCAAGACCAAGGAGGTCCACATGCTGGCCTCGGACGTCATGATGGAGACGATGGAGGCCAAACTGGTGCGTGCCTTTCGGTTCTGGAGTCGTGGAGAAGGTCGTTCTCGCTGCCGATAGCAGCAGTCGGGTGGTTGTGTTGTCGACACTGGGCTCCCTGAGTCATTTTACTGGGAAGACGTGGAGGCGGCGTTTCGACTTGTTAAGCCTCGCTTGATATGTTATGTCCTGTTCTGTCAGATCTGAATCACTTAACACTGTTCTGGTAATTGACTCGTTCCCTTTCCTTGTCGTGCAATGTCATGTCTTGCAATGTCCTGTCCCGTCTTAACCCTGCCTTACCCTGCGGTGTGGAGCCCTGACCAACAGTTTTTATACAATATTGAACCTTGTCCTGAACCCCTTCCCGAATCCTCTCCCCTTCCTATCCCCAGGGTATCTCCTGGCGTCGTGACATGGACCGGGAGGAGGCCATCGACGAGGCTCGCGCCCAGTACTACGAGCATTTCGCCGGCCAGGCCATCTTCAAAGAAGTCGGCCTCAACGAGCCGTAATCATCCCCCTTCCCGTTTACCTGTTATCATAGACCTCTGTATACAGAGGTATATGCTGTTACCTAATGACATTTGGGTTACGCTGGTGGTGTGTCATACTGTCTAATCTGTGTTGTTGTCAGTGTCTATCTAATTCCATGCTTTTGACCAGGCCTTCCGTCTAATCGCTCTCTGTAAGCACCTGCCAAGTCTTTTTCTCACCTGATCATTTGCTGTGACTTATGCCTCTCTCACCAGAGCGTGCGTTCCAACAGACTACCAAGTGCGAGCACCATGTTTCATCTCTTTCTCCTTCCACTGTCTCTAGCATATTTGCCCCCCCCCCCCTTCTCCGATCAGGGCGTACGACCCGGCCGACTACGAGCACCTCACGGTTCCACCGGAGATCGCCCAGATGTTCCAGTTCATCACTAGCTACACGCCACAGACCATCGACCTTGAGCACAGACTGAAGCCGTTCATTCCCGACTTCATCCCGGCCATCGGAGACATCGACGCGTTCATCAAAGTGGAACGGCCCGACGGCAAGGCGGACTCGATTGGTGAGTAGTGGGATGGTGATGGGCTGAGACGGAGCAGGCTGCTCAGATGAAGTGCACTATGTGGGCTCGGTTGATCATGTTCTTTTTTATGCGGGACGTGACTGTGACGGTTTTTAGTTTTTTTATTGCGTCGGTTGTGTTTAACTTAGTAGCAGACTCTGCAAATTGTTTTGTATTGCCACTGAGCATGACAGAATGGCCAGAGCCAGCTATGGTAAAATTTTTATTATTTCACGATGTTCAGTTGCGTCACCCAGCCTCCCCCGCCTCTCGTCCCGTCTCCCGCCGTATCGACTACCTCTCTAATCTCAGTATCGGTCGATGAGCTCCGATCGGCTCGGCCCACGCCGGGAGATATCCTGTTCTCCGGGCGGACCGGACCCGTGAGTCGCCCCGGGACCAGTCTGTCGGACGATCTGACCCTCCCGCCCGCCATGCCAGGTCTGTCCGTGCTGGACGAGCCGCGCGCTCAGCAGAGCGATAAGAATGTGTTGGATCTCCAGCTGCGTGCTGTCGCCAAAACCACCACGCATAAACAGACGACTGTGGCCAGCGTGCCCAACGCCGACCGTAACCACAAGGCCGTGGAAAAGTGGATCAAAGACATCGGCGACCTGCACAGGTCCAAACCGGCTCCGTCCGTCCACTACAACAAGTGAGTTGGCTTCTTTGTATAAAAAACGACTTAGTAAGATTTAAGTCGTTTTTTCCCTCGAAATAGCATTTAGTTGTCTTGAAGCGACGTGAGCCATAATGCTTCTGAATGTTTCACATTGAAGGATAGTTGGCTAGTGTGTGTAGTCGTATCGCGTCTGCATGTCATAATTGCCATAATCGCCGCGTCTGCCTGTTTTGACACCTGCGCTTTACACTGCCTGTAAACGACAAGCTGAGATGTCCTCAGATCCTACGCAATCCTCCGTTTTTTTTTTTGTCATTTTCCTTTAATAGTTATTTTCTCGAAAATTTCCCAAACGACTGGCGAGTCTTGAATGAACAATTATTGTCTGTGTTTTGCCCCAGGCCGATGCCGGACATCGACTACCTGATGCAGGAGTGGCCGGCCGAGTTTGAGGAGGTCCTCTCCAGCACACATCTGCCGACAGCCGACCTCGACTGTGACCTGGCTACATATGTGGATATCATTTGCAGTGAGTTGGGGCAGAGGGGGTGTACTCGACTGTGACCTGGCCACCTATGTGGACATCATCTGCAGTGAGTTTCGGAGGGGGGGGGGGATAGGGAGGTGTTCTCGACTGTGACCTGGCTACCTAGGTGGACATCATCTGCAGTGAGTGTCGGGGGAGGGGTGTCGGTTCATCTAGTGTTTGTGTCTTGTCAATGATAATTCATGTTCCAGGCAAAAGTAAAACACCAATTATTGGGATTCTGTATTGTGCGAAATTACGATGCTTTGCTTTTTAGCTCCGGCTCTTTTGTCTAGCGAGACCATTGCAGAACCAAAAGGATGATAGGAGTTATGGTGAGACGCTGGTTTGGGCGGACAGCCTGATGCGCTGCCGAGGCTGAGCCCGTCACGAGGGAAAGGTCACTCATCCTTGCAAATGCCGGTCCCGTAGCTCACTCAGTCTGTAGAGCGTTGGACTCCGCGTGGTGAGAGCACGCGTTCCCGGTTACAACTGTCCGGGTTCGAAGGGCGACGGGCGCTTGACATTTATGGGCCTACTGACATGTATGGTTGCGGTTGGTGGCAGGCCGTAGCCAGACGAAGTCAGTGAGGGAACCGGCCGTGCGCGGCTATGTGCGCACGTTAAACTTTGTACTCTAAATTTTGCCATAGAGCCGGAATTGCGCAATCTGAGGGTAGAGGGTAGGCTCAACGCAACAAGCTTCGCTTAGCGCGGCTCTGTCCTTGTGAATCCTTCCATTCAAAATGTTAGGACTAAATTCAAAATAGTAAAGAAAATTGTCACCCCGCCGCACAGGAACATATTATGATGGGAACTACTGTAGTAGGATGAGCCTGACCGTCCATCCCGAGACAGGGCTGCGAGGCGTGAAGGAGCTGGATTTTACCGTGATAGTGGCTAAGAAGGATCGTGTATTTTCCTCTCCCTGCTTTAGCTTTCGTTGACCTGATCATTTTCAAATATGATGTAATGGTCGCCGATGACCATGACTGCAGTCTGGGTATTTTAAACCCCCAATAAGTTAAGTCATCAGTATCAATGTGTCTTCAAGACAGTCTTCAGTTGTCTGTTTTTCTTTGCTCAGTAGGTGACAATCCGCGTGTGTTGCAGGCATCATGGACATCCCGGTGTACAAGTCCAAGGTGCAGTCCCTGCACGTGCTGTTCACGCTCTACAGCGCCTTCAAGCAGTCGGGTCACTTCGGTCAGCAGCCGGAGGCCAACCCCAATTACCAGCAGATGACCCTGTGAGGTGCCCGACTACGCCGGCGGTAGGGAGCGCTGCTGATCAGCCGCCCGCGCGCTGCCGTCGCGGCCTGGCGAGGCACGCGCCTTGGGGTGTCTGTGCTCCACTGTATAATCCGTCCAACGCTGAGTCTGAGTTCGTTCTCGCGCTCAGACTTTTCACTGGCCGTATATCAATCACTACAGTACCAGTACCACTACTGTACCACTATTTCACTGGCCACCATATCAGTACAGGCCGTGTTTGCTGTTTACTGGTCTAGTCACCGTCCAAAGGAAGATACCATGTGATAGGAAGTGAAGCACTTTGATGCTGCTGTGGAAATGGCCAGATCTCGATGCGGGCTCAAGTGAACACAAACTCGTCATTCCGTCCGCTGTGTTCTACTATGCCGTTGCCCGTTTGTTTTGTTGCGACAGAGGTAGCTGTTTGCTTGCGTCAACTGTCTAGTCAATTCGCGACGAATTTTGTCAGTGCTAATGGAAAATCAATCGTATTTTATGCACCATTTATGACCATATTTGTTCACTGTGAGACTCTAACTCGTGTTCATCTTTGTTTTTGCGCTGCATTGTGCTCATCGCTTCAGTTCACCATTCGAGTAGCTTACTTGAACACTGCATTGTTGCACTGTGCATCCGTGGCTCGGGTGTACCGCCGGCGGTCAATCTGTGGTTGATCTCTCACTCTGACCGCATGTGTGTTCTCGGCCTCAATACAAGATGGTCAGTCGGTTATTAAAGGTCTTTGAATGGCGGTAGACCGTATCTCTGCACCGGTATAACTACATATGCCGGATGAAAACCACTGACCTGAACATCATGCAATGAGCGTTAGTTTTAATTGGTAAAGCGCCTACAATCGGCGAATAAGAATGGATGGTGGTATTATCTCATCCATGGAAATACAGTTTTATGGTATATTTATTAGCGGGTTTCATAATCCATTCTATTTATTCTTTTTGAATAAACGAATCTGTCTTTAATGCGTCTTGCATATCATTAATATCAATGCCTAAACAGACACAGTTTTTCTTTTTGCCATCATTGGCTGGATGATGAAGTACCGAGTATTGCTGGTCCATAGACCAAACCCTTTTTATAAACGACCGACATCATTTGTCACGGAGGGTCCCCGTGATATAATCACGCCTTGTGCGCGTTTTTCGCCCCACTTCCGACTGACAATTGGGACGCTGTCGTGACGCCGGCTGCGTCGTCAAATGCCACCGTGCCTGGCCTGCCAATTGCGTCTCGGAGGCAAAAAGTGGTTTGTCGGTGGGCGCGTGTCGCCGTGTCGTGTGGCGTGGCGTGGCTAACGGGTGTCGGTGGTGACAGGTGCTACCGGGCGGTGTGACCCGACCCGGTAGGCAGCTGACCTAGACAACGGCTGACGGTGTGACCCCAACCGGCAGGGTGACCCGACTCTGGCCGTTAGTTGTTATCTTACTGCGTGACCCGATCGGGTAGACCGCTCACCGGATAACGCTAATGCCGGCGACCACGCGGATAGCTGGTCCCGACCACAGCAGGCAGCTGCTGACCACGCTACATGACCAAAACCACATACGGCAGCTTGTAGACGGAAGCGTGACCCCGACACCGGCGGGCGACTATGGCGGCAGAGATAACGTGATCCCGAGTCTGACCGCAGACGCCAGCGTGACCCGATCACACACAGGGTCTGACCACGAGTACAGCCGTTAGCTCCGACTTTTGACACCGCATCTGACCCCAACACCGCACCGGTCGACATCTGGCGCCGCGGGTTTGAGAGTTCGTGGGTTCGCGGGGTTGCGGCGGCGACTCGACGTGCAGTTTTGGGAGTCATGGTAACGGCTTGACACCGGCTGCAGCAGAGCCTGACTGAGTCTTCAGTTAGGTGAGCAGGGTGCCGGGCAGTTGCCAGTTGTGTTTCTGGTTTATCATAGCAAAATAAACGCTAAATTCGCGTGACAATGGCGTCAGCGGATCAACGTCCTAGGATAGCCACGACAGAAAACGGCTCTCAGTGTAGCAAATAAATCTGTCGGTCAGTTAGGACCGTGACTACCTCACTCACGCTTGTGCCGATTCCGATTGTTGTTTGACAGTGCTTATCCCGACTTCGTCTTATCAGTTCCAAAGCTCTCGACAGGGTCGGGTTTATAGGCACAGTCGCAACACCACTCAACACATCGGCTATTGATCGATAAGGCGGGACACGTCGACACTTTTCTACGGTCCTGTCGCTAGAGGGAGGAATTGGGGAAATTGGCCATACTTGGGAACCTGAATCGAGCGCTACTCTCACGGTTTCCACGGATTTACAATACACACTTCATAGTTCATAGCTAGGTTATTCGGAAAACCGTTGGCGTTGCCGAGAAAACCGGCATTTGAAACTATAGTGACTGGCGTTTTTTTTTTCTTTCAGTACCTAAGTAAAGCTAACTTTGCGAAAAGTAATGACCTCATAACGTATCTTATGTAGGTCATTCGAAAGGATGACGATGACGTGTATATTCGAAAGGAATTGTACCGTTTATCTGCTAATTTCGTGCTATAAGGATCTGTACCTGTTAAGAATAAATGAAAGGTTAAAAAGATTAAAAAAATTGCTCTGAATTACACTAATATCCGTTTAACGGAATTAAATTCCTACCTTTACTTACGAGCGACGACACCTACGAGCAGGTTATGCCTGCGATGGAAAAAAGGATGAATTAGATGACACCTGAGAGAGATAATAACAGGAGTAACATCAGCATGCATGAATATTTTCGCGCGGTAGTTATGTTTGCATGAGCTGGTTAGTTATGTATAAGTAAGTTGTGATGTGTTCATGTTCGCCTGCGTTTGTTCCAGCCGGCTAACTCTCCATGGTCCATAATGTTCGACGCCACGCTCCGGCGCCCCGTGCGTAAGCGCCGTCACCGCCTCAGTGGCGATGGCCCACTGACCCCCACTGGATCGGACAAAACTGTACTGTTGCCCGGTACAATTGGGAGCTCACGCGCAGTGACGCCCGACGTAGTGGCTGCCGGAACAGCGGCCCCGCGTCACACCTCGAATAGACGGACTGTCAGGGTAGCAAACACCCTGAACATACGGAGTGCCGAAAGTAGGTAACACACTAAACTTATGGGTTTTCTTCTTATGGATATAGACTGTGACAGACGTATCTCGCAAGTCGCACTGTTGAGCTGGCAGAAGGAGAGCTCCTTGATAGCTCTATCAATGATCTAATGATGGTAAAGCTCTAGGCATGCATTAGTTCACATCCCATCATCTATCCATTGCAGCACCACGAACGTCGAGTGAATCCCAAAGTATGCAGAAACTAAGTTGTTTTGATTTAGCCTCTTCCTAGAAGTGAGCCATTTTCCTCGTCAGTACAACTACCCACGAGTACCTTTCAGATGGATGCTGTACGACGTCCAACCTTACCAAATGTTTGGTCTGTGGCGGGCCTGAAACCGAGTACATCGCTCACCTATCGATTCGTTGTCTACCTGCATAGGTATGCTATTAGTGAGTAGTCACCAATCCAATCACCATGACACTATTTATCCAGACCACTATACCATTAGCCCATCCCTTATAAATTAAAAACTGCGATGTCAAAAAGAAATCCGAACAAACAAGCTCCGTAAATCATAGGCGGCGGAACGGGGAGGGCACTGGGGCACCGTGCCCGCCTTTGATTTCGGCATTTTAACATTAGCGCTATGGACATTGCATGGAAAGAATGGGATCAAAAGACGGCAGTGCCCCCCCCCCCTTAATTGAAGGTTTTCCGCCGCTACTGCCGTAAATAAAATACAAAAACGAACTAAAGTGGTTAAATGCCTCAAGCTCGATCAAACTCGAGATCTCCCAAAGGAGCCAGTTATAGCCAGTTGCTGTCCGAGGCCCTTCGAGCTGGATCGGGACTCGGCCATCCCCACTTCGGTGAGAGGGCGGGAGAGGCCGTCTACCCACCCTCTCTCCCGGTGAACGAGGGTGACCTGACCTCGCCAGCTGATGGGTCATGTAGTGGTGGGCTAAGCATTGCGAGTACCTACTCAATACTCGTTTAGAGCATGCTTCTCAGCTTTGGCTACTCTTTGTTGCGACTTTTAAACGCTTGTGCAACTTTTTTACACCGTCATTTGCTAAGGTTCGACAGCAGACCGTGTTTTGAAATCATAATGTTTTTAATGTCATAGCCCTTCGATACTCAAATGTCAGTCACTCGGTGTACTTGTCAAAGGCAGAGCAGCTCTGACAGCTGAGCCGGACGAGGCGCTTTTATTCCGCGGCTGGCGGCGGCTGAGTGTACTGCGGGCTGCTACAGGCGACGCTTCTGGGACTAGGCAAACTAGGCGGTAAGAATTATGTTAACCCTCGCATGTGGGGCGTTCCACGACAAATCGACAAGTGCCCTGCACCCTCATATTTTATTTTTTGCTTAAAATTGGTCTAATGGGTTGTGATGGGCGGGGAAGCCAGCTGTGGCAAGGATTTTTTTCTTCGAACAACGGTTTCCGAGATATAGCCTAGGGCAATTCTTGGAGTTCGCGCTGCAGCCCTATGTTTGGCGGCCTATAACTCAGAAACTATTGGTTTTTTGCGATAAAAACTTCATATGGTTCAACTCACAATCAACCAACAAACATTTTGGCTATCTTGGATTTTCAATTTTTGAAAATTTTGATCACGTGACCTTTTGTCCTATTTTTCGAAGAGTGACCTTGATATTTTCCCCACTGAAAGTTGCAATTTAGTCTGATGACGATTAAAGCCTTATCAATGGTCATTCATATACGATAATAAAAAAAAGTGGTTATCGCCCTGCGTTGACCTCAGGTCAGGTCATTTTTATGACCTGTCCATTTTTACGAGCGGGAGCGACAGCGAGATTTCGAGAATAAAGCAAGATAGCGACAAGCGGTAAACGGTAAAGGGTACACACGGATAAGGTCTATAATTTTTACTGAGGTCATTTTCAGGTCAGGTCAAAGATGACGTCACAGGAGCTAAAAGGAAGTCAAAATAGCGGCACTATACATATATATGAAGTTTTTCTCGAATAACTTTCAAGGTATCCCAGCTAGGAACAAACTAATAGCACCATCGTGATCCTCTCGTCGATCCGCATCGAAACATATGTATGTTGACCTCGAAAGGTCGAAAGGTCAAAAGTTGACCTTAGGTCACGTGATCTAAGGTAAACTTTTGACCTTTCGACCTTTCGAGGTCAACATACATATGTTTCGATGCGGATCGACGAGAGGAGCACGATGGTGCTATTAGTTTGTTCCTAGCTGGGATACCTTGAAAGTTATTCGAGAAAAACTTCATATATATGTATAGTGCCGCTATTTTGACTTCCTTTTAGCTCCTGTGACGTCATCTTTGACCTGACCTGAAAATGACCTCAGTAAAAATTATAGACCTTATCCGTGTGTACCCTTTAACGTTTACCGCTTGTCGCTATCTTGCTTTATTCTCGAGATCTCGCTGTCGCTCCCGCTCGTAATAATGGACAGGTCATAAAAATGACCTTACCTGAGGTCAACGCAGGGCGATAACCACTTTTTTTATTATCGCATATGAATGACAATTGATAAGGCTTTAATCGTCATCAGACAAAATTGCAACTTTCAGTGGGGAAAATATCAAGGTCACTCTTCAAAAAATAGGACAAAAGGTTAGGTGATCAAAATTTTCAAAAATTGAAAATCCGAGATAGCCAAAATGTTTGTTGGTTGATTGTGAGTTGAACCATATAAAGTTTTTATCGTAAAAAACCAATAGTTTCTGAGTTATAGGCCGCCAAACATAGGGCTGCAGCGCGAACTCCAGGAATTGCCCGAGGCTATATCTCGGAAACCGTTGTTCGAAGAAAAAAATCCTTGCCACAGCTGGCTTCCCCGCCCATCACAACCCCTTACACCAGTTTTCAACGATGAATAAAATATGAGGGTGCAAATTTAATTTTTTATTTGTCGATTTGTCGTGGAACGCCCCATGTGTAGGGGGGTCGGATGGACCCCCCCATGGTTTTTCGCGAATAACTCGCGTAAAAAGTGGCCGATGGCGACGAAACTTTCAGTACCCTCGCATTGATCAATTTTACACCTACCCTGAAAATTTCATGACCCTGACCCAAATGACCTTTGACCTGTGACCTCTTTTCCGAGACCATGTTTGGCCGGAATCGCGATTTCGCGTATGTCGGCTCGCACTAGCCGCGTGTTTGCAAGCTTTTCGTGGTTTCAAACGTTCAAACATGTGATTTGATGTTACTCCCGTGTGTGTCAAGGTCACCTGAAGGTCAGGTCAGGCTGAGCTCCTGGTCGGCCACATGGGGTCTGTCTCTAAACCCAGCCAAATGTAAAGCATTCAGTGTGACTCTGCGGCGCGCTCCCGTTCGGACCACCTACCGTATTGGCAGCGCTGTTCTGGAGAGCGTAGACGAGATCAAAGATCTTGGCGTCACAATTGACAGCAAGCTGTCATTTTCGGCGCACGTGTCCCGGATTGTATGCCAGGCAAACAGGGCCCTAGGCCTGATGATCAGAACCTTTCAGGCCGGGACTAAGAGATCGAAATTTAACAAACATACGTTACTCGTTACTTACTATGCCAATGTTCGTTCAATTTTGGAATACGGTTGCGTGGTCTGGGCGGGAGCGGCCAAATCCCGCACAGAGCGGGTTGATCGTGTGCAGCACAAATTCTTGTTGTGGTTGAATAGCCGCACATCCTCGCCATGTTCCTCTCTGTCCTATCCTTCTCTTCTGCATCATTTTGGTATTACATCACTGTCTGTCCGTAGAAACCAACACGACCTGCTCTTCCTGAGGAATATCCTGGCCGGTAAAATCCGTTCTTCTAACCTCCTTGGTAGATTTCCGCTCCATGTGCCGCCGCGATCAACCCGCTCACAGCGGCTCTTCGCCGAGCTTCCCTGGCGCGTACGGACCGTCGGGGATGGTTTTCTGCGCCGACTACCGAGGGCCATGAACGTGTTTTTAACTAGAAGTCCCGCTGATGTTTTTAGCGATAGTTTCTACACTTTTAGAGGACACGTTTTAAACTATGTGAAAGGGCTGGAAGCGGCGTGATCGCATCCGCTGTGCTTTTAGTGTTTCTTGTTTACTAGGCTTTTTAGGCTATTATTTATTTATTTACATCTCCTGTGTTTATAACCCTACGTGTTTTTATCTTCAGTGTGTGTGTGTGTATGTAGGTGTGTGTGTGTTGTGTGTGTGGGTGTGTGTTGTTTTACTGTCTCTTTGACTTCGCCTTTTAAGTGGACTTATTGTCTGTTGGCGATTTTAAATATACAAATACAAATACAAATACAAATACAAATTGACCTTTGGTGACCTCGGGTGACCTCGGTTCACTTTTTCGAGTTTTACATGTTTCTAGGCTAGTTTTTGGAGCTGAATTCGAATTTAGCAACCATTTGAACATTTACGAAGCAGTTTTGGTGACTTCGTAACATGTTACGAAGCTGTCAGAGGCGGTTGACACGTACTACGAATACCCGTCACGACGCCTACTGGTTGACCTGACCTGACCTGACCCGACCTGGTCTAAATGCTTCAAGACATCATCTGTGATCAAAACTAACACGATATTCGTGATCAGCACCCCGAAAAACCCCTCAGCAGCCACACTTTACGACTTTCTAACAGGTCCCGATTTTCCCGACTTTGGGTCATTGACCTGACCTGGAAGGTCAACCAATGACCTAGGACCTTAAAATTGGGTATCATCGGCTTCCTCTCGTCACGGGCAACACGCTCGTTTTTTTTCGCGAAGCTCTAGCTCAATCAGGGGCCAAACGGCAAGGGGGGGTCCAACCGACCCCCCCCCCCTACACATTAGAAGCTGGCAAACGCCGCACACATGCGAGGGTTAAAAGATTCCATTTGTATAACCATTCAGTCAATTGTGAGCCTTTATGTTGTGTATTGGACAAAAACATTCGGCAAAGTACGAGGTCCATTGGATAACATTAATTAAACCTCATTCAGTTACAATTTTATTCGACCACAAAAGCCTGACATACCTACCTCTAAAACACTTTTTGTGAAATCTTTCGAGTGCTTATGATGTATTTAGCTGATAGGAAATGCGAAAACTTCCCCTTACCTAATTGTTTTTTATTGTTGTTTTTTATAGTCCCTTTGACATAGCACTGAAAATAGCTCAGTTGGTAGAGTGTTGGGCTCCGCGTGGTGAGAGCACGCGTTCGCGGTTATGACAGTCCGGGTTCAAAGCGCGACGGACGCTTGACATTTATGGGCCTCCTGACTGGTATGGTGGCGGTTGGTAATGGTGGCAGGCCGTAGCCAGGCGAAGTCAGTGAGGGGACCGGCCGTGCGCGGCTATGTGCGCACATTAAAATTTGGACTCTAAATTCTGCCATAGAACTGGAGTTGCGCGATCGGAGGGTAGAGGACAGGGTCACCGCAACAAGCTTAGCTTAGCGGTGGCTCTGTCCTTGTGAATCCTTCCCATCAAAAGGTTCGGACTAAATTTACAATAAAAAAACGTAATAAGGAATACAATATCAATTATTGAATATCAACGTTGTCCTTTTTTCCTTTCCTAGAAAGCTACCTATAACATTATTTGAATTTCCCATAAACAAACGGCTGATATTCCACTGCTATGGCACAGCCGGACACCATATGCTACGAACGTTCGTTTCCTTTCATTCATAATTTACAAAGTGCGGATGTTTGCACCGTCAGATTTTTACATTTTTGCTAATCCTTTGTCTCTCGTTTCGATGTTCTGCACGATTCTCAAAAGCATTAGGTAATATGTCACGGTTGCAACGGTGACCTTTAAATCAGGGTACGGCTTAAAACTGCGCAAAACTAGTGCGTCACCGGCTGCAGCGTGTCGGTCGGACGGACGGCTGCGGTGGGGGCGTGACAGCCCCCCCCCCCCTCCCCCTGCTGCACAGGTTATAAAGCGCCTGTCTGCTGCGAACAGGACAGACAGCCGATAGCCAGAGCACAGTGATAACCATGCTGCTGTGGACCGTACTGGGTGTCTTTGCTGCCTGCGGATTATGTAAGTCAACGTTTTCATTGCTGCAGCGTATTATCCATGCCGGACTATTATGATAGCATAGTTTAACCCTCGCCCATATAGGGGGGGGTTGGTGCAACCCCCCCCCCCCTGAGGCTTTTCGGAAATAGTGCAAAAACGGCGGCGCGCAGCGCCGCCAAATTTTGGGTACCTTATGGGGCAAATCTTGCGCATCTTTTGATAAAAAAAAAATTGACCGGGTCATGTCAGGTCACGGAGTTATGACGTCACAAAGGGAACAGCCTCCGGCCGGATTTTCACAAACTGAGTGCCAACGCCCGAGGTTTCCTGCCGGTGGTACGGACATCGGTTGATGGATCGTGATGAAACTTCCCATGCATGTTGGGGCAAGTATTGGCTATCATATGGTATAAGAAACTTGACCGGGTCAGGTCAGGTCACGGAGCTATGACGTCACAAGAGGAACAGCGTCCGGTACTATTTTTGAAAAGCGCCCGAACCACTATTTTGCTAATTCTTGTCACCTCAATGGGAATATGCAGCAATATTAGCTTCTATAGGGAGCAAATGGACCTCCCAAATCCAAAAATACAATCAGATTTCAAAAATTTAAATTTTGATTTTTCGAATTTCTGCCGCCGACTGTGACCTTGCCGACTTCCGGCGCTCCCAACGCGCCATTTTTAGAGCTAGGGAAACGAAATACATACCAAACGATAGAAAATTGATCAAGGAACACGATAGTGAAGGTTTAAAGTCGATATCTTCCACCGTTTTGCCGCAATCGCCGCGGAAAGTTGAAGAAAGTCTATTTCTCCGAAAAATTTGACCTTTGACCGGTCAAAAGTAGGTCAAATGTTGACCTAGGACCAAAAAATATACCACCAATCGCGAGATCTCGGCGAGAGCAATCCGTTGGTCTTTTCCGCTAAGCTCTACGACGTTCCGTTTTCAAACGCCAAAGGGGGGTCGCACCAACCCCCCCCCCCCTGCATGGGCGAAGGTGGCAGATCGCCGTTTACGGGCGAGGGTTAACTTAGTAATGATGAAATGGTAAAGTCTCTGCTGACGATGTAATCCAGCTGTATCTTGCACTGCTCCCCGCCCCTGTGCCCCGCACACTGGTCACTGACTGTGTCACTGACACTGACTCCGTGCCACTGACCCCTCCCCGCCGCCCCGGCAGCCGCGGCACGCTCTCCGGCGCTGTGCGTGAACCAGCCGTGCCACCCGCCAAACCGCTGCGAGGACCGAGGGCAGGGAGTGTCCGTGTGTGTGCTGCCCAGCCCGCCCACCTGCGCCGCCACGTCGTGTTTCGTCGGCTTCGATTGTGTTCTTCAGCAGCAGACGTGTCGGTTCCGGCCCTGCAAGCCGCAGCCGACCTGTATAAAACAGGGCACCAGTAAGCTTAACCTGTAAAGCTGACTAAGATACGAGCGAGGTGTGGCTAAAAAGAAACCGATACGAATATTCGTATATTTGTCAATTTATCATTTGAATTATTGTGCTATATTTTATCTGACTGATATTTTTTGCTTTCCTTTTGGAGCACAATTATTCGGAAAACCGGCGTAAAACCTGTTTTGTTATACTTATGCAGAAGTAATCATTTGGTCAATCTAATTAATCCCTCCACCATTCCGCCGAGTCCGCCTGAAGTCGCTTTGTGTGCTGCACTCAGTGACGCTGATATGCTCCGATTGCAGACCCGTGCGGCCTATGCATCGCTCCTAACGAGTTTTGCGAGCTGCAGCCGGCCGACGGCTCGCCTCCCACCTGCCGATTTGTGGTGGAGCCTCGCTGCGACAACAAGCGCTGTCGCTACGGCGAACAGTGCGAGGAGGAGCCGCTGGTTTGTATCCGCGCTCCGTGCGCGCTGGACCTCCAGTGTCGCCGCCCGTGCGGTCAGCGCGGTTAGGGCGGGACGGTACTGCCAGCGGCAGCAGAGGAGGGCCACGGTGGCAGCGGATTTTAGTAGACGGGAGGGAGATGGGAAAATGTAGGCGATAAGAATCGGCGATGATGAGGCATGCTGCCACGAACTATGGCTGTTGCTGGGCATACTGATGTAACGGCGCTTTTATGAATGCGAATGAATAAAGTTGTTTCATCTAACGCGTTTTCATCAAAATAGTGCATTCAAACTGGTAGCTCGTGGGCAGATACGAAGTCTGGTATGTGTAAAAAAGCCCAGCGGCAGCGTTGTGATGAGTGTAAATCACTAGCATTGCCGCCGGTCCTCTATCCCTCCAGGTCAATCAAACCGAGTGCACCTATCACTGAAAACGTTACTCCCCAGCCCGCCCGTGGCTACCGCCCCGCTCCGATGCAGAGCCGCGCCGTCGGCTGCGTCCGTGTGCCATTTTCAGGTGCGCCGTTTGCGACGCACCAGTGACGCCGGTGACGCGCGCGCTGCTCCCACAACTGGGCCGTGACCATACCGTGGAGCGGTGCTCACGGTTACATCGCCACCGCCCGAGGAGCAAGGAGGTCGTTCGGGAAGGGCGGGCGCCGATGACGGTATGCTATCGGCGAGGGCAAGTTTAGGTACAGCCCACCGCTAAAGTAATGCGCGGTTTTACCAATCTCAACGGATGACTTTGACTGACGCTTTTTAAATACGAAATGGTCCAGGAGTGGACAGAAAAAGATAAACGTGCAGCTGCAAGGATGACTTCACATGCAAGCCACATTCCAAGTTGCATTGTAGTCTGGCAAGTCGTTCCTAAAATACAGATGCAAATTTCATGCATGAAAGCATAACCGAAACTGAAACTTCTGCGGTGAACTGTACATATAGATAGTGGCGCTACTCAGGCTGCCGCTGCTGTCAAACACTTACACTTCAATGAAGATCGACTGATTGTGCATCCTCCCCAAAGCTCTGGTGTCGATTTGAATAATAGAACCGATAAGGTCAGCTGCTCAGTTATGGGTCATGATAACCAAGTAAAGACATTACTTGCATTTACTGGCTGCTTATTTCCTGAGAGATTTGAGCTACAACTATGCAACTGCAGCTTTGCAAACAAGCTGCCTATACATGTACTTGATGGTCGCAAGCATTGAAAAACGGCCTGAATTTATAGTCCGGAATGAGACGCTGCATGCACTGAAGGTTCCATACGAGGTCAGATGCATTGCATTGCTCACTGCCGTGTAGATCACTGACCCCGGTCACGTCACAGGTCGCGTCGCTTGGTGACCCGCCGGTGTTTGAGGTGTTACACCGCAGGTGTTACACCATTATATCAAGTTCAATGTCTGTATCGCACCACGTCCCGTAATTAACCCGCGCCCCGTTGGGCCCTGCCGAGCAACGCGCCCGGTTGGGGGGGGGGGGCATTTTGGCCCCCCCTAAGATCTCGAGAACCACGCAACATAGCGACAAGCGGTAAACGGCGTTGGATAGCCCCAACGGGGAACTACCTTGTGACCCAATTTTATTGACCTAGGTCAAACCGATGACGTCACAGGTCAGGTCAAAGGTCCAATTTTCACCGTTTACAGGCACTTCAAGAAATGCGTTGTAAAATCGAGTAAAATGCATTTCATTGAAAATCATCGATGGGGAAATGTTCTTCAAACACATATTTTGCTATTTGAGGTCACTGATACCAGGTCAGGTCACAGAGGTCAGGTCACGGGGGGGTCACAATATGAAAGTGTCGTATGATACATGTTTTATGGTCCATTTTACATGACAAATGCGATTATATGGGTCAGGCAGCCTTTGGGGCCAGCTTAGATCACGTTTTGGTCAAGGTCAGGTCAAGGTCAAGTCAAGGTCAGGTCAACTTAGGTCAAATTTCAAAGTTAATATTTTTGCATAAAATGGGTATCGAATCGATGCAGCTCGTCACGGGGAGTTCAATGGTGGTCTTTGTTTTGCGGTACATGGTCTAGAATTGCAAAAAAATTGAGTTCAAAAATTTGACGTCATCATTTTTGAACAGTTTTTTCGCTATAACTTGGCCAAAAAACGAGATATCGATCTGAAATTTGGTATGTATATAGAAGAGCGCTGGGACTATCACATATATTCCGTTTTTTTTCGAAATTCGGAAAAATTTTGGATTTTTTCAAAGTTTTTCTAAAAAAATCAATTTTTTGATTTTTTTTGGTCAAAAACTAAAACTTTTGAAAATCCGAGACAGCAGTTTTGTAGCGCCATTTTTTATCTACTAGACCATATAAAGAACTTTGAAATTGCTTGAAAACTGTAGATTTGGTGAGCGTTTCAAGATTGCATGTTTTTTGCTCATTGTTGCTCGAACATGACCTCACTTTGACCTCAATAACTCCTGACCTAAGGTGAGCTAAGACTTGAAATTTGGTGTGAAGGTGTCAAATTAATGCCCGAGAAGGTACTGAAAATTTGGCGGCGCTGCGCGCCGCCGTTTTCTTGCTATTCAAGAAAAACCACAGGGGGGGCCAAAATGCCCCCCCCCCCAACGGGGCGAGAGTTAAATGAATATAAATGTGTTGTAGGGGAAATATAACCAATGATTCACTGTTGGAAGACCGTGACCAGACGCCTCATAACGAGACGTTGGATGGGTTCGTTGTAAAGGATAGGATAGGTGCATAATTGTTGTTCGCACTGCGCAGGCAGTGTGTTCCAAAAACACCTTGCATGTCGCGAGAGCCGAACTGTGAACGTGGCACTCGCGGCCACCTGGTATACAGTTCCTCTCCTCTGGAGCCAATAAAAGGCCTAAGGCAACGATGTGGGCGAACTATAACAGCCGTCGAACGCGCTCAATATAAAAAACGTATTCTGACAGTAAGGAGCAGCTTGCATCACCACTTTCAATCACTCATGGTACCATTATACGCATCCAGTAGGTTTCCAGGACTTCCTATGTCTCTTCTTCTTCGGCAGTGATTGCGGAGACCAATAATTATCTGACTAGCTTAGGACATCGCGGGCTTTAGGGATTAGGGTATCAAATATCAGGAACAAATATGCGAACTATAATAGTATAGTAATTATTATAGTTACATAATTCTCAAACTACCCATCATAACGGATAGGTAGGTAGGTATGGGCTGCGCTGACCGTAAATACACATATCGCTTGAAACTAACTGAAAGTGAGCGGTGAATATCATTAGAATAGCATAGTGGATTCCGATTCATAATTCTCATTCAATTCTCACCGACATTCATGACCATGGGGAATCCATTTCCATAAGTCATCGGCGGCGCATTCAGCTGTGTTCCGGCCGCCTCTCGGCTCCCGCCCGGTCCGCCAGTGAATCCGTCCCAGTCCCTATTCACGGGCACCCTCCCGTCTTCGTATCTCTCGGCAGGGAGTGTGTAGTCTGCCGGCTGGAGGTCCCAGCTAATGTTTATGGTGTCGCGGGGTCGGCGGCCATTCAGGTTGATGGCACCAAGTTTTTGCTGGTTAGGAATTCGGTCGCAAACCTGGAAGGGTAGCTGTTTGTCTAGAGTTGGAAGAACATGCATGGTGATCTAAGAACAAAGTTTTGTTGGAATTCAGGAAGCAGTGGCGGCTTACATACCAGACTACGAGAAATCATCGAGTTGTTATTGGCGAGTTCCATTATTTTTCGAGCCTTCCTAAATGACAACGCTGCTTCCTGTCTTTTGTCTCGATCGCATGATTGATGACTCTCCTAAAAAGTCGTACATGTCTTCGTAAATAACTCAATAGGCCATGGCCAAGACCACAAACAATAAAATCAAAAACATTTATCCTGTTCTATACTGCCGTTTTGCCATTTTATTAATGACGCGGGCGAATAGGTAGCGCATGTGCTGTTTGATTTTGGCCCGTTATGAAACTGAACTTCCCAGAACCACCGATTTAGATCAAGCATAACGTTACGAGTACCTATGCATGTTTTCAAAGGTCAGTAGCACAGCATAACAAAACTTTGGAGAATTTATACTGTGCATGAAAATGTTGGTTAATTGTCATGATCACAACTGACTGGCTAAGCGTTTGAGGTGAATTCATCAAAACTCTGAGAAATGGCCACATCGACCCCCTAGCGCTGGTGTGGGTTATCACTTGGTATCCATTCCACCCATTCATTAAATCCTCCCGAAATAGAAAGGTCAGTTTCCCAACCATCAGAATAATCGATCCGCGCTTATGATAACCGATCGGCGGGGGCTGATTGGCGGGTGTGGACCGGCTGCCTGGGGAGCCACTGTGGAGCTCCGTTCGTGCGTGTCGACTCCTCACGGTCGGCAACCCGCTCGGAATTTGGCGATCGAGGAGCACACGCCCCGGCCTTCCTGGCGTGCGGCGCCCATTCATAGCGATCACGCCTGGCAGAGGCGGAATGCGGAACGCAGTCCCGAGACACCCTGTCAGCTGCCGACACCGACGGGTCGGCATTGGGACAACTATTCTTCTCATTTCCATGAAAATCTATGTAGTCATGAGCGTCGTGAGCGAGATCTACATCTGTATGTATCTGTCCCGTATTTTGGCTATTTCAATCGTCACAATATTTAGGTAAGCGGCCATCCTCCCAGTTGCGCCTGTCATATATGGAGCGACGCTCGTTCTTACCTTATCGTAGTCGTCGTATGGATGGCGCCCTCTCATCCTGTGAGTAAGAATAATAATGCTAGAACTTGTAAGAATACATGAGAGAAGTGTGAAAGAATCGTGATAAAACTTTGTGATGAGATTGCTGTGAGGGGAGTGCGAGACAGGCTGTAAGAGGCCTGTGAGGTGGTTGGTAGCTGCTAGGACTGTGAGAAAGAGTGTAAGAGAGCGGTGACACAGGCGCAAATTGTGAGAGCACTTTGTGACACGGACTGTGAGACGGGATGTGAGAGCTATCATAGAAGAGCGGTGACAGCCTGACAGGGCTGTGAGACGAGCAGTGACATGATTGTAAGAGCTCTGTCACAGGACTGTGAGAGGATAGTAAGAAGATATGGGAGGACTGTGAGACGGGCGGTGAGAGGAGTGAGAGGACTGTGGGACGGGACCGTCACAGGACGGTGAGCCGGGTCGTGACCGGCGGCGGCACTGATCCCGGCCGCGTGACGGCTGTCACCGGCCGTGACACGGAGCGCGTGTCAGCGTCACGATACGCCGTCACAGCGGCGTCACGACCGCCGCGGCG